TCTGAATGGGGCATGATAGAACCCTGGAACCATGATGGACCCTGGAACCATGATGGGCTCTGGAACCATGATGGGCTCTGGAAACCTGATGGGCTCTGGAACCCTGATGCCCCCTCATTGGTGAGGCCTCTTGTATAGGGGTGTGGTCATTTATAGGCGGGATCCTGAGTGATGCGTTGTCACACTGAGGTTTGGCGCGGGGGCAGCGCATTATACCTGCAGCTGTTCTGCGGGTTCCCCGCGGGTTCCCATAGACTTCTATTAGGTCGCATATTTTTGGTGCATTTTCTGAAGGCGCGCAGAGAGTCCCGCATGCTGCATCTTCGGTGCGCTTTCAGGAAATGCACCCAAAACATGCGATCTAATAGAAGTCTATGGGAAGCTGTGAGCGCACTGAGCTGCCCCGCGCTGCGGCCAAACTGCGGCAGCATGAAAGGTCCCTGAAATGTTCCAGAAGGTCCGTGCATAGATGTGCTCATGTGTGTACAGGTAACATCCTTCTTCATGGGCAGGGTTGCAATACACGCGTGTACATATAGACACGTAAACATGTGAATGCGCCTTCATGTGCAGAGCGTGCGTGCGACCGTCCATCAGGCATTATTCTATCAATATCCCGATCAATAATCACCCCGGAGGGCTCAGCCGCTGCATGTAGACGTCTCTCCTGGTTGGGTGGCGGGTCGGCTCCACATGTATCGGCTCCGGGGTTCCGTGCCTTCTTCCAGAACATAAAAATAAAAGATTTCAGATGTTGAGGCCTCGCCCCGGGCGGGGAGCCTCCAACCCCAATATATCAGCTGCCGGGTTTTGAAGTGAAACATTCTGTGTGCGTCCTTCTGTCAGGCGGAGACAGGTACCGGCTCTGATAAACAGCAGATATCTGTCCGCTCAACTATGTGCAGATGGTGGATGGGAGTCTCGGCATTCTTCATCCCCGCAGCACAGGAAGAGGCGCTGCATCCACCCCGATCCACACTGATCCACACCGATCCACCCGATCCACATCGATCCACCCCGATCCACCCCGATCCACCCCGATCCACACTGATCCACCCCGATCCACACGATCCACACTGATCCACCCCGATCCACACTGATCCACCCGATCCACACTTATCCCCACCCCGATCCACAGCTGATATCTGTCCACGCTCCCTATGTGCAGATGGTGGATGGGAGTCTCGGCATTTTTCATCCCCGCACCCACAGGAAGAGGCGCACACTGACCCGATCACCGATCCACACTGATCCACACCCCGATCCACCGTGATCCACACCGATCCACATCACACCACCCCGATCCACACTGCAGATATCCACCTCAACTATGTGCACACTGGTGGACCCACCCCGGATTCCACACCGATCCACCCCGATCCACCGCCATCCACCCCGATCCACCCCGATCCACCCCGATCCACATCGATCCACCCCGATCCACACTGATCCACACCGATCCACCCCGATCCACACCGATCCACCCCGATCCACACTCCCGATCCACCCCGATCCACATCGATCCACCCCGATCCACACTGATCCACCCCGATCCACCCCGATCCACCCCGAATCCACACTGATCCACCCCGATCCACACTGATCCACCGTGATCCACACTGATCCACCGTGCTCCACACTGATCCACCGTGATCCACACTGATCCACCGTGATCCACACTGATCCCACCCCGATCCACACTGATCCACCCCAATCCACACTGATCCACCCCAATCCACACTGACCCACCCCAATCCACACTGATCCACCCCAATCCACACTTATCCACCCCAATCCACACTGATCCACACGTGATCCCACCCCGTGATCCACATCGATCCACCCCGATCCACATCGATCCACCCCGATCCACACTGACCCACCCCGATCCACCCCGATCCACCCTTATCCACCCCGATCCACCCCGATCCACATCGATCCACACTGATCCACCCCGATCCACACTGATCCACACCCCAATCCACACTTATCCACCCCAATCCACACCCCGATCCACCCCGATCCACCCCGATCCACCCCGATCCACATCGATCCACCCCGATCCACATCGATCCACCCCGATCCACACTGATCCACACTGATCCACAGCAGATATCTGTCCGCTCAACTATGTGCAGGTGGTGGATGGGAGTCCCGGCATTCTTCATCCCCGCAGCACAGGAAGAGGCGCTGCATCCACCCCGATCCACCCCGATCCACCCCGATCCACACCGATCCACACCGATCCACACTGATCCACACCGATCCACCGTGATCCACACCGATCCACACTGATCCACCCCGATCAACATCGATCCACCCGATCCACATCGATCTACCCCGATCCACATGATCCACCCCGATCCACACTGACCCACCCCGATCCACACTGACCCACCCCGATCCACACTGACCCACCCCGATCCACACTGACCTACCCCGATCCACATCGATCTACCCCGATCCACATCGATCCACCCCGATCCACACTGACCCACCCCGATCCACACTGACCCACCCCGATCCACACTGACCCACCCCGATCCACACTGACCCACCCCGATCCACACTGACCCACCCCGATCCACACTGACCCACCCCGATCCACACTGACCTACCCCGATCCACATCGATCCACACTGACCCACCCCGATCCACACTGATCCACCCCGATCCACCCCGATCCACCCCGACCCCCCACCCCGATCCACCCCGACCCACCCCGATCCACACTGACCCACCCCGATCCACACTGATCCACCCCGATCCACACCCCGATCCACACTGATCCACCCCGATCCACACTGATCCACACTGATCCACCCCGATCAACACGATCCACCCCGATCCACACCCCGCTCCCCGCTCCACCTCGATCCACCCCGATCCACATCGATCCACCCCGATCCACACCCCGATCCACCCGATCCACCTGATCCACCCCGATCCACACCCCGCTCCACCCCGCTTCCCACTCCACACCCCGATCCACCCCGATCCACCCCGATCCACATCGATCTACCTCCGATCCACCCTGATCCACCCTGATCCACACCGATCCACCCTGATCACCCTGATCCACCCTGATCCACAGGAAGATCCACGCGGATCCACCCCGATCCACGCGGATCCACCCCGATCCACGCCGATCCACCCCGATCCACGCCGATCCCACACTGATCCACACCCCACTCCACCCCGATCCACACCCCGATCCACACTGATCCACCCTGATCTACGACCGATCCACACTGATCCACATTGATCCACCCTGATCCACAGCAGATATCTGTCCGCTCAACTATGTGCAGATGGTGGATGGGAGTCTCTGCATTGTTCATCCCCGCAGCACAGGAAGAGGCGCTGCATCCACCTCGATCCACACTGATTCACCCTGATCCACATCCACGCTGATCCACACCCTGCTCCACCTTGATCCACACCAATCCACCCCGATCCACACCCTGCTCCACCCAGCCAGCTCCATCCACCCCGATCCACACTGATCCACCCCGATCCACACTGATCCACACCCCGCTCCACACTGATCCACACCCCGCTCCACACTGATCCACACCCCGCTCCACACTGATCCACATCCCCCGCTCCACACTGATCCACACCCCGCTCCCCCCCTGATCCACTCCAATCCACCCCGATCCACAGCAGATATCTGTCCGCTCAACTATGTGCAGATGGTGGATGGGAGTCCCTGCATTGTTCATCCCCGCAGCACAGGAAGAGGCGCTGCATCCACCCCGATCCACCGATCCACCTTGATCCACCACCGATCCACACCGATCCACACCGATCCACACTGATCCACCCCGCCCCCTGATCCACACCAATTCACCCCGCTCCACCCTAATCCACACCAATTCCACCCCGTTCCATCCTAATCCACACCAATCCACCCCGCTCAATCCTATCCACACGATCCACCCCGCTCCCGATCCACACTGATCCACCCCGATCCACCCCGATCTACACCAATCCACACCAATCCACATCCCGCTCCACCCCGATCCACACCAATCAACCCCGCTCCACCCAGATCCACACCCCGATTCACACCAATCCACACTGATCCAGCCTGATCCACACCTATCCACACCCTGCTTCACACCAATCCACCCTGATCCACACCGATCCACATTGATCCACACCAATCCACATTAATCCACACCCCACACCACCCTGATCCACACCAATCCACGCCGATCCACACTGATCCACACCCCGCTCCACCCTGATCCACACCAATCCACCCCGATCTACACCGATCCACACTAATCCACACCCCACTCCACACCGCTCCATCCCGATCCACACTGATCCACCCCGATCCACACCCCACTCCACACCGATCCACCCCGATCTACACTGATCCACACCCCGCTCCACGATCCCCGCTCACACACCACTCCATCCCGATCCTGACACCCAATCCACACCCCACTCCACACCGATCTACACTGATCCACACCCGCTCCACCCCGATCCACACCAATCCACATCACACCACCGCTCCACCCCGATCCTCACCGCTCCACCACCCATCTGATACTACCAGTACCCACAATGCACTGCGCCGCCGCACTGTGCTTTCCTGACCCATAGGAATGATACGCATCTTCACAAAGTTCAATTCTCGGTATCTGTCCTTATTCTGTATATATGGACTCTGCACAGTCCCACTTCTCCTGTCCTGGATGATGTCATTCTGGGGGGGATGAAGATCCAGATCCTGAGGATGGAGTTTCCATGCCGGGTGTTGGTGGTTGTGTCATGTCTCTGTTATTTAGTGGAGTTATAATACACAATGGATTGTCCCCTCCCCCCAGATCATGTGATTCCGCTGTTCCAATCCTCTCCATATCATGTGATTCGGTGTTCCAGTCCTCTCCATATCATGTGATTCCGGTGTTCCAATCCTCTCCATATCATGTGATTCCGGTGTTCCGATCCTCTCCATATCATGTGATTCCGGTGTTCCAATCCCCTCCATATCATGTGATTCAGGTGTTCCAAGTCCCTCTCCATATCATGTGATTCAGGTGTTCCAATCCTCTCCATATCATGTGATTCGGGTGTTCCAATCCCCTCCATATCATGTGATTCCGGTGTTCCAATCCTCTCCATATCATGTGATTCCGGTGTTCCGATCCTCTCCATATCATGTGATTCAGGTGTTCCAATCCTCTCCATATCATGTGATTCAGGTGTTCCAATCCCCTCCATATCATGTGATTCAGGTGTTCCAATCCTCTCCAATCATGTAATTCGGGTGTTCCAATCCCCTCCCATATCATGTGAGTCAGGTGTTCCAATCCTCTCCAAATCATGTGATTCAGGTGTTCCAATCCCCTCCATATTATGTGATTCAGGTGTTCCAATCCCCTCCATATCATGTGATTCAAGTGTTCCAATCCCCTCCAAATCATGTGATTCAGGTGTTCCAATCCCCCCATCAATCATGTGATTCAGGTGTTCCAATCCCCTCCAATCATGTGATTCAGGTGTTCCAATCCCCTCCCAATCATGTGATTCAGGTGTTCCAATCCCCTCCATATCATGTGATTTCAGGTGTTCCAATCCCCTCCATCTCATGTGATTTCAGGTGTTCCAATCCCCTCCATATCATGTGATTCAGTTGCTCCAACCCCCTCCATATCATGTGATTCAGGTGTTCCAATCCCCTCCATATCATGTGATTCAGGTGTTCCAATCCCCTCCCAATCATGTGATTCAGGTGTTCCAATCCCCTCCCAATCATGTGATTCAGGTGCTCCAATCCCCTCCATATCATGTGATTCAGGTGCTCCAATCCCCTCCATGGACACAGGTATATACAATCAAGCCCCTAGGCATGCAGACTGCTGCTACAAACATTGGTGAAAGAATGGGTCGCTCTCAGGATCTCAGTGACTCCAAGCGTGGTCCCGTGATAGGTGGCCACCTTTTCTTTTCTCCGCCCCTCTTGTAGAGGGTGGAGCTTGCCGGGCCCTCTCACAGATTAGCCCTCTGCACAGGCTACGTACAGCCCAGTGATGATGTCACAGCTACATTTACAAAGTAATATCTGGGTTTGTAAAGGCATTGGATGCACACAAAGTGGTTATTAAGGAATATGTATACACAAGTTTTTGTTCCCGGAGTTCCTCTTTAACAAGTTCATTCATTTCTCAGTCCCGAAGACGTTTTTATTTCCCGTATCGCCGCCATCCAGCGTGATGAAGACGCACACCATACTTTACACCTGATTGATGTATTCAGCCGCAAAATAAAATCTTTTTCTTTTTTGTTTTCCCCCGAAAATTTGCAAGTTGTGTTTTTTCTGTAATTTTTTGAAGGGAAATGTGAAGAATATGAAGAGATTGTCGGCGCGGCGTCCACCTTTCCTGTGTGAGATGGATGTGATCAGGAGGGGATGGAGACCGCCTGGGGGGGGCGAGACAGAGAGGAGCGGAGTCCTCCAGCAGTGCAGAGTATTTCAGGAGAGGAGAGTTATAGAGGAAGGAGAGGAGTCCTCCAGCAGTGCAGAGTATATTTCAGGAGAGGAGTATATCCAGCAGCAGGATTTCAGGAGAGGAGTTATAGAGGAAGGAGAGGAGTCCTCCAGCAGTGCAGAGTATTTCAGGAGAGGAGTTATAGAGGAAGGAGAGGAGTCCTCCAGCAGCGCAGAGTATTTCAGGAGAGGAGAGTTATAGAGGAAGGAGAGGAGTCCTCCAGCAGCGCAGAGTATTTCAGGAGAGGAGTTATAGAGGAAGGAGCGGAGTCCTCCAGCAGTGCAGAGTATTTCAGGAGAGGAGAGTTATAGAGGAAGGGAGCGGAGTCCTCCAGCAGTGCAGAGTATTTCAGGAGAGGAGAGTTATAGAGGAAGGAGAGGAGTCCTCCAGCAGCAGAGTATTTGCAGGAGAGGAGTATAGAGGAGGAGGAGTCCTCCAGCAGTGCAGAGTATTTCAGGAGAGGAGAGTTATAGAGGAAGGAGAGGAGTCCTCCAGCAGTGCAGAGTATTTCAGGAGAGGAGTTATAGAGGAGGAGAGGAGTCCTCCAGCAGTGCAGAGTATTTCAGGAGAGGAGTTATAGAGGAAGGAGAGGAGTCCTCCAGCAGTGCAGAGTATTTCAGGAGAGGAGTTATAGAGGAAGGAGAGGAGTCCTCCAGCATGAGCAGAGTATTTCAGGAGAGGAGTTATAGAGGAAGGAGAGGAGTCCTCCAGCAGTGCAGAGTATTTCAGGAGAGGAGAGTTATAGAGGAAGGAGCGGAGTCCTCCAGCAGTGCAGAGTATTTCAGGAGAGGGAGTTATAGAGGAAGGAGAGGAGTCCTCCAGCAGCGCAGAGTATTTAAGGAGAGGAGTTATAGAGAAGGGAAGGAGCGGAGTCCTCCAGCAGTGCAGAGTATTTCAGGAGAGAGAGTTATAGAGGAAGGAGCGGAGTCCTCCAGCAGAGCAGAGTATTTCAGGAGAGAGAGTTATAGAGGAAGGAGCGGAGTCCTCCAGCAGCGCAGAGTATTTCAGGTCGATCGGTGTATGATGTGGAGGCCTTGTTCTGCCCATAGTGGGTGACAAGTGGTGGAATGGTGGGAAATGAGTGCAGGGTGGGATTGATGGGAGATGAGTGCAGGTTGGGATTGGTGGGAGATGAGTGCAGGTTGGGATTGATGGGAGATGAGTGCAGGTTGGGATTGGTGGGAGATGAGGCAGGGTGGGATTGATGGGAGATGCACAGGGTGGGATGGTGGGAGATGAGCACAGGTGGGGGATGGGTGGGAGATGAGTGCAGGGTGGGATGGTGGGAGATGAGCACAGGGTGGGAGATGAGTGCAGGGTGGGATGGTGGGAGATGAGCACAGGTGGGAGATGAGTGCATTGATGGTGGGAGATGAGCACAGGGTGGGAGATGAGTGCAGGGTGGGATGAGTGCAGGTGGGATTGGTGGTAGAGATGAGTGACAGGGTGGGATGGTGGGAGATGAGCGCAGGGTGGGAGATGAGGGTGGGATGGTGGGAGATGAGCGGGAGTTGTTGGGATGGTGGTGGTAGATGAGCACAGGGTGGGAGATGAGTGCAGGGTGGGATGGTGGGAGATGAGCGCAGGGTGGGAGATGAGCGCAGGGTGGGAGATGAGTACAGGGTGGGATTGGTGGTGGTAGATGAGCACAGGGTGGGAGATGAGTGCAGGGTGGGAGATGAGCGCAGGGTGGGAGATGAGCACAGGGTGGAGATGAGCGCAGGGTGGGAGATGAGCACAGGGTGGGAGATGAGCGCAGGGTGGGATGGTGAGCGCAGGGTGGGAGATGAGCACAGGGTGGGAGATGAGCGCAGGGTGGGATGGTGGGAGATGAGCACAGGGTGGGAGATGAGTGCAGGGTGGGATGGTGGGAGATGAGCACAGGGTGGGAGATGAGCGCAGGGGGTGGGAGATGAGCGCAGGGTGGGAGATGAGTACAGGGTGGGAGATGATGGTGGGAGATGAGCGCAGGGTGGGATGGTGGGAGATGAGCGCAGGGTGGGATGGTGGGAGATGAGCGCAGGGTGGGAGATGAGCGCAGGGTGGGAGATGAGCACAGGTGGGAGATGAGTGCAGGGTGGTATGGTGGGAGATGAGCACAGGGTGGGGGTGGTAGATGAGCGCAGGGTGGGAGATGAGCGCAGGGTGGGAGATGCACAGGGTGGGCGTACATGGTGGGAGATGAGCGCAGGGTGGGAGATGAGTACAGGGTGGGATGTTGTCTGAGTGCGGCGGCGGTGGGGTTACCTTGGCTGCGACGTGTCGGACATTCTTCATTATACATGACATAGATCCGGAATCTCCGGAGATTTCCCGTCTTCTGCCTCTGAGGTTAATTTCCTTTTGTATCCGAGAATTTTGATGTATTTTTCCTCTTCTAAGGCGCTGCGTTTTGCATTTATTACCCGGCGCTGCAAACGCAGGAAAATAAAAGGGATTTGAGATTAAACATATTCCCAATTATTTGCCGTTTATTAGGATGCGATATGTTTGGGGAGTACAGATCTCTCTTTGATGTCCTTCACATAGACTCGTTAATGATGCAGAACCCACAAAACAAAGCGGTAATGACATATTAAATAATAATGGGGGCAGCTGGAGCTCGCAGCCGTTAATTCGAGGTGGATTGTGAGCGCCGCGTCACCAATCCGGGGGAAGCGGAACAATGGCGAGACGCTGTTTGCATTCACACCTCGGGTGCATTAGCACAAGTGTCCATTCACACATGAAAGACGGCGAGCGGGGAAAGTGCGCAGAGTTGTTCGCTTTTTCTTTTCTTTTTTTTTTTTTTTTTGGTAAGAGGTTGTCGATCTCACATCTGCGGAGGGATTGTCGTTCGTTCTTCGCTCGGCTGATCCGAATCGGGATGAGTGTCTTTGTACCGATACCTCCAGATAATGGCGCTGATTATATTCCAACCTGTTCCAGGCGGCCGCCCAACTGCCGTTTTATCACGCGTTTCACCGACGCGAACGGCGGCCCTTAAAGGGAAACCGACCGTGACAGCCGGCCCGGGACTGTGGGGAGGAAAGCGGTTTATATTTACGAATCTGCCTGCTCCTCCTGCACAGGACACCTGTCGGGGGGGGCGGGCATATTTGGGCTCCTCTGTGGCAGGGGTGGACTGACAACTCATGGGGCCCCCGGGCGATAGGGGATCATGGGGCCCCTGTGTCCTTCTCCAAACTCAAAAAAGCCTATGAAAAAGCTACCAGGGGCATCTCATGGGGCCCCCTACTGACCCCGGGCCCTCGAGTTTCCAAATGGTCAGTCCGCCCCTGATCTCTAGGTATGGGGTCCATAGAGGGAGATATTCAATTTATTTATTCATTTTTCTTTCTATTGGTTGAACTTACATTTCTGCATCTGCGATTGTGATGGATTTTTGGCGCATTATGATGCTTTTTTGATGCGTTCCGGTACGTTTTCGATGCTTTCTGGTTCATTTTCTCTCTTTTTCTTAAATTTAAATAGGTACATGTGTGTTCCGGTGCATCTGGAACGCACCGGAACCGCAAGCTCTGATGTGAACTATGACACCGACAACCAGATCACCGACTTTCTGTGTGTTTTGGATGCAGAAAAATCGCACTGAAATGCATGGAGTGTGAACTGGCCCTTAGGCTACGTTCACACCTATGCAGTTTGCGTTTTAATCTCTGTTTGCAGTGATTTTTGCACCTGTGTTTTTGATGCGTTTTTGATGTGTTTTGCGTTTTTTCTTTCAGCTTGTTACTGCTCAGAAGAAAACGCAAAATGAATCAAAAACGCATCAAAAACATACTACATGCTTTTCTGCAGCGTTTCCATTGAATTCTATAAAACCAAAAATGCACAAAAAAAATAAAACGCACAGATGTGAACGCGTCCCATAGGAAACCCTTTTAAATGGGCCCCGCTCTCCATGGATGGCTGTGCAGGTGTCAGTACTGGTTGGGCCCCCAGGTGACATGCATGCCAGGGGCTGTGCTGCTCTCAATAGATGACTGTGCAGGATTCAGTACTGGTTGGGCCCCCAGGTGACATGCAGGGGCCCTGCTCTCAATGGATGGCTGTGCAGGATTCAGTACTGGTTGGGCCCCCAGGTGACATGCAGGGACCCCGCTCTCCATGGATGGCTGTGCAGGTGTCAGTACTGGTTGGGCCCCCAGGTGACATGCAGGGGCCCTGCTCTCAATGGATGGCTGTGCAGGTGTCAGTACCAGTTGGGGACCCCAGGTGTCATGCAGGGGCCCCGCTCTCCATGGATGGCTGTGCAGGTGTCAGTACTAGCTGAGCCCCCAGGTGACATTCAGGGACTCACTCTCTTTGGATGGCTGTGCAGGTGTGAGTACTGATATGGGCCCCCAGGTGACATGCAGGGGCCCACTCTCCATGGATGGCTGCAGGTTAT